AAAAAAATAATGAATGAGAATTTGGAACCAAGTCTACTTGGCCTTCTTTTCTTGGTGTATGTGTGTGTGTGTGTGTGTGTGTGTGTGTGTGTGTGTTGTTTTGTGTTGCCAGAGAGCACATACACTCTCCAGAGAGAGAGAGAGAAGTATTTTGCGAAAGAACCCTTCTGAGAGATGATCATACCACAATCCCTTCTCCACCAATTGTCCTTTCAGGATTTTGGGCATGCACGCACATATGCCCAGTGTTTTTCTTTTTCTTTTTTTTTTTTTTTTTTTTTTTTTTTTTTTTTTGGAGAGGTTTTTGCTATAGGACGTGCACACTCTCCAGAAGGACAGAGAGAGACAGAAAAATAGAAAGCAAGAAATTCCCCCCCACGGGGATGGCCATGCCACAATCCCTTCTCCTCCATTCTTTTCTCGGGATCTTGGGCACGCATGTACACGCGCCTGGCGTGAGTTTAAACCACCAGGTCCAGGACTCGAACCACGGTCGGTTACTTGTGATTTCAGTGATATAGCCATTATGCTAACTGCTGGTCCCATGTGCCCAGTGTTTTTCAAACCACTGGGTCCTGGACTGGAACCATGCAGTTAGCCATGTGGGATACAGCTGCCTAACCACCATGCCACTAGCTGGCTCCATTATGCATTTTTTTTTTTTTGAACAAAAAGTATACTTAGATTTCCCCTAATTACATGAGGATTCCTAACCTTTCTTTTTGATGGAAAGTAAAACCATATGTGTTGGAGTAATGCTTGAGAACGGAAAAAAAAAAAAAAAAAGCAAATCGCTGCTCTATTGTGAGCAGAAGCTGGTTCAGCAGATTTGTGATCACGCCTCATATCAGGACTTAAGCGTCCTTTGTGAACACTGCCACAGCTGTGCAAATCTTGGGGTAAAGAGAGAGACTAAGTGCTTGTGTTTGCCTCTTGTGGCTTTAGTTTCGCTTAGGTGCCCATCTTGTGAGCTCTGCTCTGCAATGTCAAGGGGAGCGATTAGACATTCAAAGTGGAATTCACTCAGAGCCATGCATTTCTCCTCCTTTTAGGTCACAACTGAAATTGGGTTTTCATGTGAAATTTGCTCTAGGCTCAGCAGATGGTTGCCAAACAACCAAACATCACAAGCAACAGTTTGCCTTCTGTACATTGATGTGGCTATAACTAGACATAAAATTGCAAAAGAACCAATCTAGTGTTCAAATCTGCCCTTCCCCTTTCCGTTATTCCTCCCATTCTTTCTATTTATGTTGTCTGGGACTGAAACACACATTTTGTTGCATTTCGCCTTCACAATCATACCTCTTTATGCTGACATGTAAGTGCAATTGGAGGAGAAAAGGGACACATCAATGCTAGAGTTGGAGAGTTCAGATCACATGTTGAGTTTTTCCCCTTTCTTTAAAAATAGATTCCTTTTACAATCGAGGGTAAAAAGGGAAGCAAATTGTATAGTGAATTTATTTACTCAGATGCTGTGGCTGATAATTCTCATCTTTAAATCATCCCACAGCTGCACTCCCAACCTTTCTGGACATCAATATTAATGTTCTCAGCTCCTGGCAGTAGCTAGTAGAGGTGGCATTTCATAATTCAGATGTAAAAATTAAAAGCAAGTGCTAGAGGGGGCACACAGTAGCAGAATACATCCATCTAGTTGTTGATGGAAAGCCTCTCGGAAAGCCTGCATTTCCCAGCCTTCCCTCAGCACGGAAATACAGCACTAAGAGGCAAATAATGGTGTCCCAGAAATGTGTTCTCCCTCATTATTTAAAGAAAAAGAACCATAAAGGGCATAACACAGTTCCAGATATATTTCAAATCAGAGTTGGCCATAATGATCAAACTTCAAGATCTTCAATCAGATCTTCAGTAGTCACATCAGGGGAAAGTGCTCTGGCAAATCCCACCTAAAAAAAGAAAAAGTTCGGCCAATAGATGCATGAGCTCAGTGCTCCAGCAGCAGAGTTGACATTTCTGGGAATTTGAGCAGTCTGCCTCTCATTCCTACTGATAGAACAATCCATGGAGAAAAGCTGCCCTCCCCAGTCACCCATGCCAGGGTGTTATTTTTGTGTTTTGTCAAAAAAAGTGTCCCTTAATATTATATGTTGTAAAGAACCTAGATTCTCAGTTCTCTGAAGAAAAACTAGTGCATCATTATTCTCTTCATATTTTTCTTTCCCTCCTTCAAAAATACTAAGGTCCTCACATTTGAAAGCTGCAGAAAATTAGAGACAATATAGGAATGCTCTCATCTAATTATAAATTAAATCAAATGCTTATTAAATAAACATGTTTTTGAAAAAGACACTTCATCATAAATACAACATGGTGCATCCATCAAATGAAAGAAAAAATACCACAACCACTTTTACCATCATGTCTTAGTATATAGCCATTTTATTCCACCAGCTATCTATCCTAGGACTGGAATGAATAAAAGTTAAAAAAAAAAAAAAGCTATCTCCCAGCATTTTTTGTCTATTATTTTGGTTTGGATTGATTTTGTTTTTGAGAGAGAGAGTTTTATTTGCTATAGGGCGTATGTGCTCACCAGAAGGACAGAGAGACAGACAAAAAGTGAGAAATCACTCCCCAGTGGGGATGGCCACGCCACAATCCCTTCTCCTCCATTCTCCTCTCGGGATCTTGGGTACCCATGCACACGCACCCGCGTGAGTTTAAGACACCAGGTCTGGGACGCGAACCACGGTCGGCTACATGGGAGTTCAGTGACATAACTATTACGCTAACTGCTGGTCCCAGGATTTGTTTTGTTTTAATAGTTGGCCATCACTGGTAAAGGAGAGAAAGTGGCCTCTTATCAGTTATAGCCCAAGTCACACTTCTGGGCCAGTTCTTTTCATTACTGGAGATGGTCTGCTTCAGAAACACAGCTACTAGAGTTCAGATCACATGTTGAGTTTTTCCCCTTTCTTTAAAAATAGATTCCTTTTACAATCGAGGGTAAAAAGGGAAGCAAATTGTATAGTGAATTTATTTACTCAGATGCTGTGGCTGATAATTCTCATCTTTAAATCATCCCACAGCTGCACTCCCAACCTTTCTGGACATCAATATTAATGTTCTCAGCTCCTGGCAGTAGCTAGTAGAGGTGGCATTTCATAATTCAGATGTAAAAATTAAAAGCAAGTGCTAGAGGGGGCACACAGTAGCAGAATACATCCATCTAGTTGTTGATGGAAAGCCTCTCGGAAAGCCTGCATTTCCCAGCCTTCCCTCAGCACGGAAATACAGCACTAAGAGGCAAATAATGGTGTCCCAGAAATGTGTTCTCCCTCATTATTTAAAGAAAAAGAACCATAAAGGGCATAACACAGTTCCAGATATATTTCAAATCAGAGTTGGCCATAATGATCAAACTTCAAGATCTTCAATCAGATCTTCAGTAGTCACATCAGGGGAAAGTGCTCTGGCAAATCCCACCTAAAAAAAGAAAAAGTTCGGCCAATAGATGCATGAGCTCAGTGCTCCAGCAGCAGAGTTGACATTTCTGGGAATTTGAGCAGTCTGCCTCTCATTCCTACTGATAGAACAATCCATGGAGAAAAGCTGCCCTCCCCAGTCACCCATGCCAGGGTGTTATTTTTGTGTTTTGTCAAAAAAAGTGTCCCTTAATATTATATGTTGTAAAGAACCTAGATTCTCAGTTCTCTGAAGAAAAACTAGTGCATCATTATTCTCTTCATATTTTTCTTTCCCTCCTTCAAAAATACTAAGGTCCTCACATTTGAAAGCTGCAGAAAATTAGAGACAATATAGGAATGCTCTCATCTAATTATAAATTAAATCAAATGCTTATTAAATAAACATGTTTTTGAAAAAGACACTTCATCATAAATACAACATGGTGCATCCATCAAATGAAAGAAAAAATACCACAACCACTTTTACCATCATGTCTTAGTATATAGCCATTTTATTCCACCAGCTATCTATCCTAGGACTGGAATGAATAAAAGTTAAAAAAAAAAAAAAAGCTATCTCCCAGCATTTTTTGTCTATTATTTTGGTTTGGATTGATTTTGTTTTTGAGAGAGAGAGTTTTATTTGCTATAGGGCGTATGTGCTCACCAGAAGGACAGAGAGACAGACAAAAAGTGAGAAATCACTCCCCAGTGGGGATGGCCACGCCACAATCCCTTCTCCTCCATTCTCCTCTCGGGATCTTGGGTACCCATGCACACGCACCCGCGTGAGTTTAAGACACCAGGTCTGGGACGCGAACCACGGTCGGCTACATGGGAGTTCAGTGACATAACTATTACGCTAACTGCTGGTCCCAGGATTTGTTTTGTTTTAATAGTTGGCCATCACTGGTAAAGGAGAGAAAGTGGCCTCTTATCAGTTATAGCCCAAGTCACACTTCTGGGCCAGTTCTTTTCATTACTGGAGATGGTCTGCTTCAGAAACACAGCTACTTTCTAAAGAAATTCCCAGCCAATGTGTACATCCAAATATTTACTACAGAATTAATTATGTGAGGAATTTCATAGTTACTTACAAACTTTCATTTAAAATGAGGCCTCTGTTTTTTTTTAAAGGATGTGTCATAACAGGTTTTTGAACATTTTTTTTATTATTATTTCTAAAATAGGTAAGTGCCTCTTGCTTGGTATTCATTTTATCCTGGTAATTTTTGTCCTAATCATTGCTAAAGTGATTTTTTCAAAGAACCATAAAAGAAAAAGAAAAAAAAAACGTGCATAAAAGAATTTATGTTTGACTTCTGTTTTATTTTCTTTTTAAAATCATGTTGTGATTGTGGTTTTATTCCCTTTTACTCCAAGGCTTTAAGCAACTCGTTTGTTAGGTCCTACTGGGGATAGCATACAGACTAATTTTCATAAGTTGCAATGGTTTTGAAGCCTGAAAAAAATGAAATTAAAAAAAGAGAAGAAAACAGACTGTCCGTTAGACTGTGGCAAGACTGTATGAAGACTGTCATGACGATTCAGTTGCTTTCTCTTTAGCACGGTGAGTGTTGCAGTCAGAAGAATATTTTCTTCTCAGCCTCTCATGAAAGAGGAGCTGGAGACCCAGGAAGCTTACAACGGCTGCAAGCAGTGTTTGTGCTAACCACAGCAAGGCAAGGAGGTCAGCTCGGGGAGCACTACAAATATTTGTATGGCTCCAAGGGGCAAGGAGGTGGTCCTGGTTGGGAGGGGGTCTGTAAAACAAGACGGACAAAAGACTTCACAAAGCTTAGGGAAATAAAATGGAGGGTAGGTAGGTGAAAGGGGACACATGGAAGGTTTGAGTTCAAACCTGGACTTGGATTTTATGTGAAGACAACTCAATATGCCTGCAGAGATGAACTCTTTTTATGCTTTTTGCAGGGTACAATGAAATAACTCCACACTTCAAACGCCCTGTGAGTTGTTCCTACCACATCTCAGATCCTGGCTTCTTTCCACCACTTACTTACCCAGCCCTCCCTGATGGAGCTTCACAGATGGCTCACCACCCACATGCTCTTCCGTACGTGAAGACAGAGGAGAGAGATTTTGTGACTCTTGCAGAGGTGGAGAGGAGGAAAGAACCAACAAGGCCATGCTTACTGGGATTATCTAGTATTCTTGTGTAGCATCTCTTTCCTTCTTGATGATTTTGTTAGTGTGATACTTTCAAATGATGGGAAAGGCACCACTCTCATTATTTGATTAGCACAATAAACTTTGCCCTGATTTCAGGTTGTTAAGTATCAAGAAGGAATCTAAAAAGCAGTATCTGGTTTGGTTTGACTCCAGTGGGCATATTTTCCATCCACAATGATGTAAGGCAGTGGGAATGTATTGGCCTCCTGAGCTCACTTGTTTAAATAATGATCCCTCGCCTTTCCATGCAAGGCATTGAGCAGCACAACAGGCAGCTGCCTCCTTAGGGACTGCCACAGTATTGCTGCCATTTCTCTTCGGTATGCACAGCCATCTTCCCGTTGGCCTCCCAGAGGTGCTCTCCACTCCCATCACAGTTCTGCTGCAATTGCAGTTAAAAGGTTTGCTGTGTTTCAGTGAAATTTGTGGCAGTTTCATCATCCATGGAAATGGCAGGGAGACTGGCAAATACACGCCATAGATTTCTGGTCCGTAAAAGATTAAATGAAGTGGACTTGAATGATATAGCTGGTTTTTCACATTTATGGCTATGTCGCTGGACTTCCATGTAGTAGACTGTGGTTCAAATCCCTAACCCAGTGGCTTAAACTCACACAAGGCTCATGTGCATGCGTGCCCAAGATCCCAAGAGGAGAATGGAGAAGAAGGGATTGCAGTGTGGCCATCCCCCCACAGGGAGTGATTTCTTGCTTTCTGTCTCTCTGTCTTTCTGGCAAGCGCAGATGCCCTATAGCAAAAAACTCTCTTTAAAAAAAAAAGTAATGTCTCTTTTCAAGGTCCAAAAAGAAGTGTGTCAGGGTTTGTATTACAGCCCAGTGGCAAGAGTTCTGGGTTCTAGTAAAACAGTGTGTAACATCAGGCAGAGATAAAGAATTTGCTTGGTAAGTAATTTGCTTACCAAGATCTGGGACTTCTGTAATTGAGATAATGTAGAGTAAGTTTTTCTTGTGATAAATCATCAGATGTACATTCATTGTCACTTGGCATAATTGTAATTCAAAGCATAGCTTAAGTAAAAAATAGAACACTGTGAATTCTTTAAAAATTATGGGGTCAGCAGGTGGCATAGTAGTTAAGCTGCAGGATCCCACATGGGCAACTGCTTGGTTTGAGTTCTGTACCTGACAGCTTGAAAACACACCAGGCATATGTGAGTGTGTGTCCAAAATTCCAAGAAGAGAATGGAGGAGAAGGGATTTGGGCACGGCCATCCTCCCTGGGGAAGGAGTGATTTCTTATTTTCCCTCCCTCTTTGGCAAGTGCACAAACCCTATAACAAAGTTAATAAAAATAAAAAAGTGCTAACTCTTAGCAGGAAGTTTGCATCACAGAGTTCTAGACCAAAAGGAGTTGACCTAATATTCCAGCCTTAACATTTACAAACCTGGTTACTATGAACAAGTTACTTGATCTAATTCATTTTATTTTCTTCAAATCAAAAAAATAATTAAAATTCCTGTCAAGGTTGTTGTGAGGATCAAGTGATATAATGCTTAATAAAGTCATTTCACGGTTCTCTGACATTTAAAATTTGCTCAATAAATAGTAGCTGAAATTAGCAGGATGTTGTCTCAAAACTTTCCAGTCCTTAGTAAAAATATCTGTGAAAGCTATAGCTAAAAATCAGCCTTAAGTCCTATTCTTTTACTTCAATACTGAACAAAGGATGAAGAAATAGAAGACCAGGACAGTTATTATTCTCTTATAAAGTTATTTGTTCATATTTGAAGTTGATACTTTTTTTACCATAGAACAATGAGTCTAGTCTCAACCAATTCTCACCAACAAATCGATGCCTAGACCTTCCTGTGAACAAGACAAACCTATAGGATTCCTTGCCCATACTAAATATCAGATACATTATCTATAGGAAAGAATCCACCTTCAAAAACTTCCCAAGTGTACTAAACCAAAGTTATGTGGAAATGGTCATGTCAGTTAGATTCCTAGGATCTCTAAGAAATTATATCTTTGTATTTTCTTAAAATGAATGACCTTGGAAATATCAAGTATTCCTGTTGATAAAATACACTGAAATGTCTCCAATAATAAAAGTTTTGTTACAAATCCTGCAGCACTGTCCAAAGGCTCACTGGAGTTGAAATCTGTGAGAGGGTAGAGTCATTCACAGAGGAGTTTTTCTTTCTTTCATTCTTTTATTTTTTTTTTAAGAGAGATTTTTTTGCTATAGGTTGCATGCACTCGCCAGAGAGACAGAAAGAGAGAAATCACCCTTAGGAAGATGGGGAGTGGTGGCTACACCACAATCCTCTTCTCATCCTTTTTCCTTTTGGGATTTTGGGCATGCATGCGCATGTGCCTGGCATGAATTTTAAGCCGCCAGGTCTGGGACTTCAACTGTAGTCGGCTATGTGGGAGTCCAGAGACATAACCAGTATGCCTTCTGTTGATCCCTAGGGTAGTTTTCATATTGGACTTTACATAACACTAGTGTTTCAACAGAGGTGACTTAGGAATAAGAGTTGAACATAAGAGGTTCTCTGCCCCTCATCTTCATTTCATCTAAAGTAGATCCTCTGTCTTGATCTGTTCTGTATGCTAGGGTCTAATTAAACTCCATCATTGAAACAAAAAGGAGTCCTGCTACTAAATAATAAAAAAATACACAATTTGAAAACTATAGCATGACAAACGTTCAACTTAATACTTTTTTCTTTAATTTATTTAGAGCTTACCTGTCACACCAAATTTATAGTGACTTAAAGTTTCAATGTTGTGTCAAGGACTAATCTAAAGACAACATTAAATTCTCACTTTGCAGCATACATTTGTCTTCCTTTTCCAAATAAAATTCCTTATTTACATATTTTGAGTGAAGGCAAGACATTGTCTATCTTACAGAAGCATGAGCTATGCTTAAAAACAAATACACAGGGGCATGGTGGTTAAGGTGCTGGACTTTCAAAGGGTCATCCATGCTTTGAGTCCCTGACCTGAAGGCTTGAAAATCACACTGGGTGTATGAGCACACCCAAAATCACAGGAGGAGGAATGGAGGAGAAAGGACTGCAATGTGGCCATCCCCGCTGGGGGTTGATTTTTCACTTTCCCTTTCTCTGTATCTCTCTGGCAAGTGTACAAGCCCTGTGACAAAAACCTAATAAAAAAAAAAATCCACAAAGCGCATTGTTGTGTTTGAGTGTGTGATGATCAGAAGAAAAGGTAAAATCCAAATACAAAACATTATGCATGGTTTTAAAAGTTTGGTTTTTACCTTTAATTTTTTTTAGCTCGATTCATCAGTTGTAATGACTTTTCAAACATCCTTTTTTCCCAGATGCTGTTGTGAAGTTACAAGCACAAGTTCTTTTTCAACCTCTCTCTATGCTTCAATAATTCATTCATTCATTCACTCAAAGTTTCCTGGGTTCCCACCATATTCTCAAGATTATAGATTGGCCAAATAGATAGGCTGAAGACACTTCAAGCAAGGCATGACTGAAGATGCACACTTTCATGGAAATCATATAAAGGAATAGAATGAACACAGGTCTTGGGGTCAGACTGGCCATTGTGTGAGTGTCATTTCAGCAGCTATAATTTGTTAAACTTACCTAAGTCACTTATTCTAACTGAATCTCAGTTTCTTCTGCTGTGAAACAGAGCTTCATGATAATTTTCTTGTATAGTTCTGATAATTAGACATAAGAATACATATTCAGCATCTAGCCCATTGCCTGACATGTAGTTATTCAATAACTAATAAGGATTGTTTTTGACTTTGTAAGGCCCAAATGCTCCAAGCTCATGAAAGAGCACTCAGGTGACAGTGCATTTGTGAAACTCCATGTTTTAATAAAAGGCCCCAAACAGTCTCCATTGCTCTCAACTTCTTAGGGAAAGTCATGCTGTCTCCAAGCATTTACTAAATTAATAAAACTCTAAGTGGTTTAGAAACATACTTAAAATAAATTGGCCTTTATTATGAAAGTCAGTGCCATGTGAACCCAGGTGTAAAACAGAGTTCCAAAATACTCCACAAACGTGCTTTCTAAGAGATAATATGAAAGATTAATATAAATTGATCATTTTCCCAGTAGAAAAGCAATTCCATTAGGAGATTTAGGCCATCATCAACAGGATAACAGCTAACAAGCCAAAGCAATCATGACTAAATGGTACCCTAAGTTATTAATGCAAGTTCTGAAAGAGCCTTGCTCATTATGAGGATATGGCTATTGAACAAGAGAAATTTGGCTCCTTAATATTTTGTACATACTACATATTTTTAATGTTAGGGACTTAAAATCCTGTGAACACATGTGGCTTAGTATTGGGGCATGGCTGATATATTAGTTTTACATTGCTGCTATAATAAATTGCCACGAGCTTTGGGGCTGAAAACAACACATATTCATTATCTTAGAGTTCTGTAGGTCAGAAGTCTAACATGGGTCTCTTCGGGCTAAAATAAAGGTGTTGACAGAGCTGCATTTCTTTCTGGAAACTTCTAGGGCAAAATCGGTTTCCTTCTTTCACTAACTTCCATATGTCCTCCTTCCTGGGCTCCTGCCCTCTTATCATCCCTTCAAGACCAGCAAAGTGGCCTATCTCTGATCCTTCTCCCTTTGTCGCATTTTCCTCAGACCAAAATCAGGAAAGGTTTTAGATACTCATGTAATTAGATTGGGCCCACCTGGATAATCCAGGATAATCTCTTTATCTCAAGGGTTTGGGCTATAATCATATCTGCAAATTCCCTTTTGCCCTCCAAGAAAACATACTCGCAGACTCTGGGGTTTAAGACATGGCTAGCTTTATGCGGTCATTACTCTGCTTACCACTGATGGCACTGAGGGCACGGGGCTGTTACAGATAGTACAATATCAAGAGACACAGGGCTGCAGGCCTTCCGAGGCCCCTTGTACACCACTTAAGGAAGACGTGAACTTCTCTGAAAGCGCTCC